TGCACATTTTGAACACATAAAATTGCCTTCACAGCAGACATTGAAAAAATGTATCGTCAGATTTTTAATAAAGAGCATCAAACAGATTTATTATGCAACTTATGTAAGAGTAGTGAAGAACCATTTAAAGTTTATAGACTGAAGACTATAACTTATGGTATTTCCAACGCACCATATCTGGCAACACGCACACTTAACCAATTAGTAGAGGATGAGAGAAACAATTTTTCATTAGCAGTGCAAACAGTACAAAGGGATTTTTACATCGATGACATACTCACGGAGCCTATACTCAAATAGAGGCTAAAGAATTACAGTCACAGTTGACTGACCTATTATCGTTTGGAGGAATGCGTCTGCACAGATGGTGTGCTAATCAACCTGATCTTTTGCATTTTCCGGATGAACAAGAGGAATATTTTTTCAGTAATTTCGATGATGATCAGAGCATCAAAACTTTGGGATTATTATGGAATCCAAAGGTAGACTGTTTTTTGTAAAAATCAACGATCAAGAAACCAGCTACTTACACAAAGAGAACAGTGTTGTCTGACATTGCCCGCATTTATGATCCATTAGGACTGCTTGGTCCAGGGATAACAAAAGCAAAAATTTCATCCCAAGGCTTTGGTTACTGAAGCTTGATTGGAATGATCTGCTACCCGAGAAGATAATTAAGGAGTGGCAACTTTTTATTGATTCCATGCAATCTGTCAACAATTTACAAGTGAGCAGATATGTTTTACAGGACAGTTTTTCAGAGATACAAATTCATGGATTTTCAGATGCATCAGAATACGCATATGGGGCAGCCATCTATTTACAGTGTAGAAGTGTTAATAATTTATCTTCACATTTGCTTTGCAGCAAGTCCAGAGTAGCTCCACTAAAACCGTTGACAGTACCACGACTGGAACTCTGCACGCTGTACTGATATAGCTTGTTACAAAGGTGGTGCCTTTACTGAAATTGGACATCAGAAAAATATGTCTGTGGTGTGACTCAACCATAGTGTTAGCGTGGCTCCAGAATCCCCCACATGTACTAAAAACCTTTGTTGCTAACCGAGTGTTGAAGATCCAAGAGCTGACACAGACATGCCAGTGGAATTATGTGCATTCAGCGGAGAACCCAGCAGACCTTATTTCCCGAGGACTGAATTTGGACAAGCGGCATGTTGCTGATCTCTGGTGGAAAGGTCCTCCATTCTTCAGGGAAGGTGTCATACCTAACAAGAACATTGAACAATTAGGGAAAAAAAAAAAAAAAAGAGAGAGAGAGATTTTCTAGTGAACTGCGAAAAAGAATGACATTGCTTGTTTATGCACTTTGCCTTCAAAATTTATTGATTATATCCTAAATATCACTAACAATTACTTAAAATTATTACGTATTATTAGTTATATTTTCAGGTTCATTTGGAACTCTAGGTGTGCAAAACAGAAAGAAGCACAGAGAAGAACAGGAGGGGTAGGTTCAATGAAGTTAAATGAGGCAGAATCCTTTTTAGTAAGAGAGGTTCAAAAATGTAGTTTTTATTTAGATTACAACTCCCTCGCACAAGGTAAATCCATTAATAATAAAAGTCATTTACTTTCTTTGAAAACTTTTTTGGATGTAAATAATGTAATGAGAGTAGGAGGCCGATTACTAGAGGCCAATGTAAGGTTTTTCACAAAAACATTAAATAATTTTGCCTGTTAAATACAAACTAACTAAACTGATTGCTGAGCATTCTCATAAGAAAAATTTATATATAGGTTCACAAACATTATTGTGTTTTATGAGAGAGAAATTTTGGTCGTTACAAGGTAAAAATTTAACTAGAACGATTACCCATGAATGTACAATTTGTAGTAAAAACAAACCAGTCACTATCAAACAAATTACGGGGTCATTACCTGCAGAGCGCATAAATTTGAACTCACCCTTTAACCATGTTGGGATCGATTTTTGCAGCCCATTTTTTTATTAGATACAAGGGACAAAGGAAAGGAGCTCTTCATAAGGTATATTTAATCTTTTTATTTGCCTTATAACATAGGCAGTGCATCTCGAACTAGTGAGTGACCTTACCACTGATGCATTTATTGCCAGCTTAAGGAGATTTATTGCTCAACATGGAAAATGCTCAATCATTTTCTCAGACAATGCAAAAAAACTTCGTTGGCACAAATGCCGAAATGCAAAGAGATAACAATTTAATTAGAAATCCTGACAAAAAATTAGCAAATTATTTAGCTGAAGAATGAATCGTTTGGAAGTTTATTCCCCCATGGGCACCTAATATTGGTGGGCTATGGGAATCTGGAATTAAATCCGTGAAATATCACTTAAAGCAGATTATAGGTAATGTAAGGCTGACTTTTGAGGAGTTATTAACTGTAGTAAGTCAGATAGAGTTTGTGTTAAATTCTTGTCCAATTATTCCCTTATCTTCCAATGTAAGTGATTTAGAGGCCTTAACACCAGGCCATTTTCTCATTGGAAGATTCTCGAATGCTATAGTAGAACCTGAATTGATTGATATACCTGAAAAGACTTTCAAGATGGAAACAGATTTGTCCAATTGATATGGAATCATTAGCATTGGGACTATTTAAACACACTACAACAGCATTCAAAATGGAAGGCAGAACAAACGAATATCAAAATTGGTATGTTAGTACACTTAAGGAAGATGAGCTTCCTATCAGTAGATGAGTGTTAGGACAAATTACAAGACTTTTTCCTGGAGTTGACGGCAAGGTTAAATAATAGAAATACGAATAGCAAAAGGCATCATTAAGCGTGCAATTACAAAATTCGCAATTTTACCCCAGGAAGAAGCTTCCTAAATTAATTGTGTAAGCTTATTATTATAAAACTTGTACTGTGTACAAAATTTTGCATTGGAAATTGAATATTATTGTATTTAATTGAGATACAGTCAAAAGTCGTTAATCAAGACACTAATAATCCGGAATGATCTATAATCCAGACCTCAAAGCTACAAACTTTCTGCGCATGCGTCAAAGCATAATGCGTTCACACATGCGCATAATACGTTTACGCATGCACGTTTAATGTATAACGGACGGTATAAGCTAAGCTAAAATTATCTAATTATCTATTTTAGTTAATGTTGCAGATTGTGTTGTTCCTTAATCTTCGAATTGGATACGGCTTATTATTTTTTGCAGACTGTTAGAGCAATTTTATAAAAGTAAGCTTGAACTTTCGATTATGTCAAAAAGAATTTCCGATTCTGGAGCTGCTAAAGGATCTACAAAGCGAAAGCATGTTTCGGTGTCCATCAGACAAAAAGTGGAATTGCTGCAAAAAATGGATAAGGCATATCCTTTGTTTCTCTAACCATTCCGAAATCTATTTATCAATTTCACGCTGCTCTACGGGGGGGGGGAACGTCGCAGCGCAATGAACTGGAAGTTGATCTGCCAGCACTATTCTTATCTTCAGGACAGATGTTTTTATTTCATTCGGCTTATAATTCCTTACTAAATGTAGTATTTCATCTCGATGTAAATCAAATTCCTCGTCATTATAAATATGACGAATACACATCAAATAGTTTTCTGGTTGCAATTTTCTAATTTCGACTATGCGTAATGTATGCTTTACGCATGCGCGCGTTGAAAGAAATGTTTAATAAAGTAAACAAATAAATATTAAGCTTTTTTATGTAAATTTTGATACCCTTTAAATCATAATTGCTCTTTATTTCATAAATTATGGTTTCATATTTTTAATTTTATAATTTCTGCATGCCATCTTACCAGATTTAAACTGATAATCTATAATCCGGAATCGCCAAAGTCCCGACGAGTCCAGATTAAAGACTTTTGACTATATTATTAGTATTGCTATATTGTATAAGGTTGTAGTTATAAAATTTTGTATGAGTATTATCGCATGAAATTATTGAAGTAACCCTTCAATGTCAGGGGTGTATGTGCAGTCATTAGGACAGTTTAGCTTTAAAATTACGTCATTTTTTCTCTTCTTCATGCCTTGCATGGCACAGATGGTCATTACAGCAACTCTGTAACACTCGCTCAGTTTTATTGTTGTTGTTGTTAGATAAGTAAGTCATCGCCTGAAAAGATGACATGCATGTGATTAAGGTTCTAAAATAAAATATTAATACAGTCCATATCTAGTTAATTTTAAATTGTTTGTATAACAACGCACACATCGCATGAACAATATCATTTATCCCTCTTGGTCAATGATTTTTGCCACGAATGCAGTTGCCTCTCTATTCAGAACCTGAGCAAGAAAGAATTCACCAGTTTCTCAATATAACTCGTCAAACTGTATTGTGGAAGAACCTTGCCAGCTTTGTTATTTCCCCCATTTGAACAGATTTTCGTTTATGTCCACAATATTTTTAAATGCCACCTATTTGCTTTGTTGGATTAGATGTAGAGAACATGGTACCTCTCTCATAAAACTATTCCAATCAACATTTTCATAAAGTATGAGTTTCTTCTCTCACTATTTTACAGATGCCAGTTCCTCTGATGAAGAGTAAATAAATCATTACACTGTTATGGTGTTCTAAAACTACTGAACCAGTAGTCAAAATGTATGCTTTTCCTTCACTTACAACTTTTCACACAGCACCTCAAAATGCTTTCATTGATATGTGGTTTTAATGAATGGACATTTTTGCATATTTTAATTTAAAGTAAAAGCACCTTTCTCATTTCTTAGTAAATCAAACATTTTTGACACTTCCTTGAAAAAGAAACATAACACGGAATATTCAGTAGTCTTCTCATGATAAGAGAATTAACAGTTATCATGAATTGTCAACATTTATGTGAAAAAATATAATGTGGTTTACTCAGAGCTCTTCTGATCGCAAGCAAACTAAACATAACTGATGTTAGGACCGTCACCCATATGAAAATTTATGCATTGGTAACTTATCAATAAACTTCACACCATTTATAAAAGGAAATTTATAATAACAAGGAAGTACAATAAATTCTTACCTTTAGTTTATTTTCTATATTAATTAACCATCCATCAAAATTGTAAAGTGCTGCAATTCTAGCCAACTGCCTAGAATAATGTATGACATTATTGCTATCTTTAAACAGTTCTTCACAGACCTTTTCACCAGAATCCCATTCTGTGATAAAAGTGCCTAAAATAGTATAAAATATAAAAATTATTTATCATTTTAATACAATTTGAACCCACTAATATATAATCAATAATACAGACTTCTGTTGCCAGACCTGAAAATACAATTTTTTAAATTACAAAAATAAATTCTTATTCAATACTTTCTAATAAATGTTCTTAAGTCACAAATTCATCACTGAAAAATGCATAAAGTTTACAATATGATGAAAATCAAACTGATTTTGCAAAGTAATTTTTTTTCCAAACTGATTAGTTATCCATTTTTTTAATCACACAGCTATTTAGCTTTACAGGGTTACAAAAAAAAAATCTGATGTGAACACCATGACTTCCTTGTATGGCCTATTAAATTATACATATTTTTGCTGCCTTTCGTTTAAACTCACCTCCTTGAATTTCATTAGAGATATATTTCTCATTCAATTAATTTTCAGTCTTCAATTCACAGCAAGGCACAAATACATAAGGACTCAAAACATCTTCATTAAAATTGTAAAGCGTAGAAAAAATAAAACAACAAATACGGTTAAAAAGAGTTCAAAAAAAGAACTTTTAGAATTAGAATTTCTACTACAAGCAATTCAGCCGGTGGGCAGAGAGACAGAAACGAAAAAGAGAGATGCACAACTACATGTTATAGCAGTCCAATATACAAAATTTCAACATTCCATGGCTACTCATTTTTGAGTTATGTGAGATACATAAATACCTACGTACTTACAAATGTCATGAAAAAAAACCTCTTCTGAATCCATTTTACAATCCATTTCTTTAAAAAAAAGGGGGGGAGTCCTCTATCCTGTCTGTACATACAGATATTATGGGAAAACATTCTTCAAATGGATTTGAGAGTGGTCAAAATGGATTATTTTCATTGAAATACGATACCTGAAATTTTTCCCAATTATAATACTTTACATTATACAAGGAATTAAAAAGGCTTGTGGTATTATATTATACTTTAAGAGTTTCTTTTTATTGAAATTAATATTAAATAACGTTAAATTTTGCTAATTTATGGATAGATAATATAAAGGATAACAATAAATTCATGAATATCTATTTCATCTATCTAAACATATCCAAATTATTTATTCAATTATAAACAGTGGTACCACTTTGCTGCAATACAGTGATTTTTTACGGATGAAAAGGTAGAAGTTACTTATAGGTGCAAGTTGCTCTTTTTCATACCTTTTTTTAAAGAAAGATTCCCATGCTATCGATGTTTATCATAAGGCAGTAAATATTATCAATATATGAAAAAAAAATATACTAAAGCAATTTAAAACACAAATTTTAATTATTAAATAAAAATCACTTAATACATAAAAAAATAAATAAATAAAAAACTCTTTAAATCCTTCTGTAATTTTTTGGTTCAGTTCTTCTCCCAAAGTACACAGGGATCTGTTTTCACTTGATGCATTTCCTCATTGTTGCCATTAAAAAGTTTTCAGCCAAATTCCTTATTCTTACAGAAGTTTTACTACAGTTTCTTCCATTGATGGTAATTTCCCCAAACTCATATTTTAAAACTAAGTTTAAGGCAAAAAATAGCATGATTTGTTTATAAAAAAAAACATTGAAGCTTGGAATACAACAAAAAAGAATTGCATACGAAAATGGTTGACTGAAGGACTGTTACGAGTATGGCTGCCAGAATGGTTATGCAAATGGTTACATGAGTTTGGCACATTCTGAAAATTTGGCAACTTATAATATAATGGTCACATTAATACATAAATACCCAAACATTTTTTAAAGGGCTCGCACTTAATAGAAATATAAAATTAAATGTCGTAATTTTTACAAAAGCCAAAAATACAAATAATTATGCATGAACAATTTTTTTTTTTAAATTTTGAAAATCAAATGAAACTACAAGCAGATTTAATTATACTGCATAATTTATGCCAGATATTGTCTACTTTCTTCTTTCCTGTCAGTTGATTTTCTAGTAGATACCAAGGCTTTGCAAAAATTTTTCGAAAAGGTTTTTCATAAGGTTTAGATTTAAATCTAAATATGTTGTGCAGTAAAAGATAATCCTTGCCAAGGAAATATTGTTGACTGAGATGAAAGTTCATTCAGCTTTAGCATTCCGAATCGCGATAGTCTCTAATAATAAATTTAGCTTTCCTTTATACTGCACTACAAAGTTCGAGATCTGAATTCATTGAGATTTTAACAATTCTGCATTTCAGAATTTTTAAGATTTTAAATGATCAATTTAAATCTAGGAAGATTACACATAGAAACTATAAAATTAAAAATATTAAATATTTGTTTATGAAATAACAAAGCATTTATGACCAAAATGAATTCAAAATTCATTAAAAAACCTCAATATTTACTTATTTGTAAACATTTCTTTCAATGTAATAGCTAAAGCTGCTTCCTTTTTGGGGTTAATACTTCTCTTTAATTTTATAAATAGGTTAGGTTATGTTATTCAATTACGGCAAAGCCTCAAGGGCTATCTGCCTCAAGGGCCTCTTACCTAAGGGGAGGGATGCCTTCGTGGAGGACTTTCTAAGGGAAACTGGCTCGTATACACGTTACACATGGGGAAAACCTCGAAAACACCCATGCAGCCAGCCCGTTCGCGGGATTCGAACCTCGGACCAAACTACCAGTGTTCAACGTCTTTACCGCTCGGCCGCTGGTGGGCTTCTTTGTCAAAAAGGAGCAGTGTTCCAAACTACCAGTGGACCAAACTACCAGTGTTCAGCGACTTTTTTACACCGCTCGGCCGCTGGTGGGCGCAATTTTATAAATAGACATAACATTTTGTTCAGTTATAAAGTTTCGCTATTTAAGTCCTGACTAAGAATTCCCACTAAACTGTCACTCGAAATCTTCACATTCTCAAAAACTTCCTTGTCCTTTTCTTCCCTACTGGTAGCAATATTTCTGGATTTAAAACTCTACGACATGTTTCACCATTCGTTACATGATTTCTGATTTGACATCCTAATTGTAATGGAAAACTTCTCTTATATCATCTTCATTTACTATCACCTCTCCATACTTTTTCCAATTTCCATTAATTGCAAAATTTTGCCTTCTGTAGCATTCAAAATCTATGTCAAAATAAAGTTATTGTTTTACCTAATTTTGAATTTGCATTTTCTTAAATCCAAATTGCACCAAGGCTGCTATAGAAGGTAAGTACCAAATGTGCTTTCACTTTGCTGATTCTACTACAGCTCCAGAATTAGAAACTCTTTTCAAGATTAATCTTCCATAAGTGGAGTGAATGCTAAACCTGGCAAGAGTTTTTATTTGATGCGATTTCGATTTGGTTGTGGTTTCCAGCTGTATGTTTTCTTGTGGCAAACATAGAGCTTTATTTCAGAGATTGTAATGAGTGTAAGTTTAGTGTAGCCAGAAGTTTTTTTTTTTTAAATTTAATTTCGAAATATTATGTTTATTTTTAAAAGCTTTACTGTTTAATATTTGTAGGAAGTTAAGCTGTTGTTGGTGGATTTCAGATGGCGTATAGTTTATAATTTATGAATGTTTCATTTAATTTCATTTAGTTAACGTTTTTGGGGTCACTTTTTTATTTTTTATTTATTTATTATTATTATTTGTTTGTTTCTTGCATGTGGCAACCAAGAGATGTGCAAAATTAAAGTGTTGAGTTCACTCAACGCTTTAATGGTTCGTGTATTGAAGGTATTGAAGTCTATGACAGTTCAGTGTATTGAAGTCTATGACAATAATAACTTGTATATTTTAGTGAGTTCATCATGCATCCATTGTCAGTGAATCTGAACATATTTACTTGGTTGACAAATTTTTGATGCAAGTGAAGTGACATTTTGTATGTATTATTTTTGTATTTTTATATTTTTAGTTTCATGTTTGCGACTTGAATTTTTTAGAATTTATTTTAAATTTATGTTTTTTGTAGTAATTTATGCTTGTATTGTATTTAGCATCATTTTCGTTTGGCAATGTTAGATTTTACATCGTCGTTTCTTTTTGAAATTGGCAATTGCAAAATGAAACAACGATGTGATGTTCGATATCGCAAATAAAAAGAGTTTGGTGCCAACTTACCCCAGTAATGGAAGATTAAGCCTTTTTGACATAAACGAAATTTCAAACTTTAATTTTGATAAGATAGCTCTAATAATTATGGCCTACAAAAAAAAAAAAAAAAAAAAAAAAAAAAAAAAAAAAAACAAGATGCTAAAAAAAAGTTTAGAAAGTTTAGGAACAGGACTGTGAGGTTAATTGAGCATAAGTTTCTTGGAATGGAAGTCTTTTCTTCTCCCTGTTACTCTGACAGCAAAAGAAAACTTGTATGAGCAACATCCATTTCAAACAAGTATGTCTTGGCACTTTACATATGGTATACGTCAGATACAAAAATGTTCCCCATCTCCTCCACAACCATTCAAGGGCCAGAAGTTTGATTGTGGCTAACATCAGTCATATTGTAATTCCTCAGAAAGTGAAAATAAAAGAAAAGCTACTAAACAAGTGCTACCATCTGACGACTTTCAATGTGTTAAAATTAACTGAGTAACTACACTGCTGGCCATTAAAATTGCAACATCATTAACGAGAGCAAATACAAAATATATATTTATTGCACGTAAACAGTATGGATGAAGATAAAATGATTAAATTTGTAAGCACTTTGGAGGTTTACAGAGGTGCGAAATTACAGGGCTGCCATCCCTGGCAGCTAAAATGGCCTTTATCCCATTAAGCATTGAATCAAACTGGGCTTGGATGATAAAAATGGGCAACTCATTCCATGCTGCTTTAAGTCTATGCCACACTTCCTCAACTGTATTAGCCGAAGGGCCAGTCTCTCAGCAACTTATGACCAGATGTATTTAATGGGTGACAGATCTGAAGATTGTGCAGGCCAGGGCAGCAATCAAATAACCTGTGTATCCAGGAAGGTCAGAGCATGACATACTACATGTGATCCTTCATTATCTTGTTGGAACATGGAGTTTGGGGGCCTCGAAG